AGTAGTAGTAGTCGTAGTAGCAGTAGTAGTAGTAGTCGTTTTAGTAGTAGTAGTAGTAGCAGCAGAAATAGTAGTTTTAGTAGTAGTAGTAGTAGTTGTCATAGTAGTATTAGTAGTAGTTTTAGTAGTAGTAGTAGTAGTTGTCATAGTAGTAGTAGTAGTAGTTTTAGTAGTAGTAGTAGTAGTAGTAATAGTAGTCGTAGTAGCAGTAGTAATAGTAGTCGTAGTAGCAGTAGTAGTAGTAGTCGTTTTAGTAGTAGTAGTAGTAGTAGTAGTAGTGCCGTACCCCGACCCCCGGGGATCACGACCTGATGCAAACGGGGCTTTGGCTGTAGGAGCCGGCGACTTCTGCAGTACACCATCCACACACAGGAAGGAGCCAACCAGTAGTAGCAGTAGTAGTAGTAGCAGTAGCAGTAGAAGTAGCAGTAGTAGTAGAAGTATCAGTAGTAGCAGCAGTAGCAGTAGCAGCTGTAGTATTAAACCAATCAGACCACATCTTAGTAGAAAATATTGCATCTATCCCTGTGTGAGTCTCAAATGAAATGATTTTGACTTGTCACTGAGGTCTTTAACTACATATAATCATGTTTATTTTTATATCAAATGTAATCCACATAAAAGCTACTATTTTCAAATCAATACATTACACAACTTTATTATTACAATTTAGTACCAGCTCAGCCTGGATAAAACCAGGGCCAAGAAAGTATAAAAATGTACATGGTCCTGGTTTAATAAGGCCAATGGAAAAACTCCCAATCAAGGAAGAGTAGAGCCGAGTGGAGCGGAGTTGGGCCAAGTTGGGCTGGTGGAAACAGGGCTTCAGTTACCCAACATTACAGTTGTCCAGTCAAGATTTGATTACCAGAAGTCAAACAGTTTGTGATACTTTTCTTATTATTGCAGAGGTAGAACAGTAGAAGAAGTAGTAGAAGAAGAAGAAGTAGAAGAAGAAGAAGAAGTAGAAGAAGTAGAAGAAGAAGAAGACGTAGAAGAAGTAGAAGAAGAAGAAGTAGAAGAAGAAGTAGAATAAGAAGAAGTAGTAGAAAAAGTAGTAGAAGTAGAAGTAGTAGAAGAAGAAGAAGAAGTAGTAGAAAAAGTAGTAAAAGTAGAAGTAGTAGAAGAAGAAGAAGTAGTAGAAGAAGAAGTAGTAGAAGAAGTAGAAGAAGAAGTAGAAGAAGAAGAAGTAGTAGAAGAAGAAGTAGTAGAAGAAGAAGAAGTAGAAGAAGAAGTAGTAGAAGAAGAAGTAGAAGAAGTAGAAGAAGAAGAAGTAGAAGTAGAAGAAGAAGTAGAAGTAGTGGCGGCACGGTGACTGAGTGGATAGCACTCTCGCCTCTCAGCAAGAAGGTCCTGGATTCGAATCCCGGTTGGACCAGGGCCTTTCTGAGTGGAGTTTGCATGTTCTCCCCGTGTCTGCGTAGGTTTCCTCCGGGTGCTCCGGTTTCCCCTACCACTAAAAATATGTACAATAGTTCTGGCATGTGCCTCCTGTACTGGCCCCACTCCCAAAAATAACAATTGTAAACTGCTTTGAGACTCCGATGTGCAGTGAAAAGGCGGTATATAAATAAAGATTACTTACTACTTACTTACTAGTAGTAGAAGAAGTAGTAGTAGAAGAAGTAGTAGAAGAAGAAGTAGTAGAAGAAGAAGTAGAAGAAGAAGAAGTAGAAGAAGTAGTAGAAGAAGAAGAAGTAGAACAAGTAGAAGAAGAATAAATAATGATGCTGCATCACACTGAAATCATGCAGACGTCAGAATCAAGACACAAACAGGACAAGGACAATGCTTTGCAAGGGGCCCCCAAGAGCCAGGGCCAACTCTGCTTTGGACAGATTTGTATTTATTGGTGACAGCAGATGTTGATAGTCCAGGCGGAGCAGCCTCAGAAGACCAGCCACATGTCACTCCCGTGTTAATGGAAAGATATTGGGATAAATGACGCAGGCTAACACTGTTAAAGGGCAGCATAAAGATAAAAATAATACGCAATATTATTAACATGTAATCAAATGCTTAAAGTATCTCAATATGTCATGTCCATAATGTGTTCTCAGGTGATAAACAAAACAAAACCAGAATCCGAATTTTAACACTGCAACGTTTTTCAGTTGTTTTTGTGTTTTTATCGCCTGACACTGTTTTGCATGACAGGACTTTGAGACGGTTAAAACATAAATAAAAAATAAGCACACTCATTTGAACTATAGCCACCAGGGAAAGTCTGAACAAATTATTCTTTAGTTTAGGCGGCGTGTTACATTTACAAGAAGCGTAATGGGGGAAAGCCGCTTCTTCTACTTAATGCGTAAAGTAAATAATGACGATAATAAACAATACAAAATAATACATCTGTAATATATCATGGAGACGGACCATAAACAAGGAGAAGGCCTGACTGTGGATCCTGTGGAGATAATGGAGACGGGTTTGTAGCCTGCGTCAGAATTCGAGAACGTTGAATGTGCTGCAGTCTCTGGGTTTATTTAAGAGGGAGGTTTTTGAGAAGAGGGCATCGGGAAATGAGTCCAATCTAAATCTCCTACGGGACAAATAAGTGTACCTTAATCCTCATGTTGTTAAGTGTCTCTGAGTCCAGGACGACACCAAGGTCTATAACCACGAGCGAAGGAGAACAACAATCATTTCATCAATATTTCAGAAGAAAAGTGATGAAAAATTGTTAAAACATTGCTCACATTTTGCCAATGGAACAAGCAAAGTTTTATAGTTCTAAAAAATATTCAAGAAATTCCATCCATGCATCCATCTTCTTCCCCTTAATCCATTTCTGGGTCAGGGAGGTGGCAGTCAGAGCACCAGCCCCTGATCCTCCTGCAGGTCCTGATTCCACAGGAGCCTTGATTATTCAGCGGGGGCTTCAGACAAAGTGGGGTTGAGTGTCTTGCCCGAGGACACAACGACAGCAGATATCAGTTGTGAAGCAGGTCTTGTGGTGGGCTCGAACTCACAACCTTCAGGCTCTAAGAAATGTCTTCAGTTCATGAAAAAAAGACTAAATAGCTTTGTCCCATTGGCAAATATTGTTTCAAGACAGTCAGAATGTACAATGAGAGAAAAAACACTAAATTCATTATTATTATTATTATTTTTATTTTTATTATCTCTTTCTGACTGTTGCACTGAGACAAAGCAATTTCCAAGTCTGTGACCTCCTGTTACTTACGTGGCAATAAAAATGATTCTGATTCTGAGACTAGAGAGAGACTAGAGAGAGACCAGAGAGAGAGACCAGAGAGAGACCAGAGAGAGACCAGAGAGAGAGACCAGAGAGAGAGACCAGAGAGAGACCAGAGAGAGAGACCAGAGAGAGACCAGAGAGAGACCAGAGAGAGACCAGAGAGAGACCAGAGAGAGAGACCAGAGAGAGACCAGAGAGAGAGACCAGAGAGAGACCAGAGAGAGACCAGAGAGAGACCAGAGAGAGACCAGAGAGACCAGAGAGAGAGACCAGAGAGAGACCAGAGAGAGACCAGAGAGAGACCAGAGAGAGACCAGAGAGAGACCAGAGAGAGACCAGAGAGAGACCAGAGAGAGACCAGAGAGAGAGAGAGACCAGAGAGAGACCAGAGAGAGACCAGAGAGAGAGACCAGAGAGAGACCAGAGAGAGACCAGAGAGAGAGACCAGAGAGAGACCAGAGAGAGACCAGAGAGAGACCAGAGAGAGACCAGAGAGAGACCAGAGAGAGACCAGAGAGAGACCAGAGAGAGAGAGACCAGAGAGAGAGACCAGAGAGAGAGACCAGAGAGAGACCAGAGAGAGACCAGAGAGAGACCAGAGGACAGAGAGAGAGACCAGAGAGAGACCAGAGAGAGACCAGAGAGAGACCAGAGAGAGACCAGAGAGAGACCAGAGAGAGAGACCAGAGAGAGACCAGAGAGAGACCAGAGAGAGAGACCAGAGAGAGACCAGAGAGAGACCAGAGAGAGACCAGAGAGAGAGACCAGAGAGAGACCAGAGAGAGACCAGAGAGAGACCAGAGAGAGACCAGAGAGAGACCAGAGAGAGAGACCAGAGAGAGAGACCAGAGAACCAATATTGTTTCAAGACAGTCTGATTCAAGTAATTATCACCTCGTAATTCATTTTTATTTTTTGTTGCCTTTTATATGGAAACTAGTGATGCACCAAAGAGTCTGTGGTTTGAGAATCCGGCCTCCTCTGAGCGTAGACCAGAGACGTCAAACTGAGGCTCGAGGGCCAAATTCGGCCCACAAAACCATTTCTAGTGGCCCCTAAAATTTATTTTCAATTATAATTATTATCAACTTGCAGCAGAGATGGGGAGGGGGGGGGGGCAAGGCATGTAATACTTCTCAACAACCAAATGTAATGTATTCTAAACTTTTGACCCAACACATCATTCTAAGTTAAATAGTTAAAGGTGCAGTTAGCGATGTTAGCTTAGCCGTAGCACCAACTCGAAACCACTCCCCCCTCCCCTCCCTCTCCACCAATCCAAACATCCAGCATTTTCTTCTCTTTGTCACAACAGGGAGAGTGAAGCAAATGTGAAATTGGCATTTTCTGTTCAGCCATTTTAGGTTTTAGAAAATCTGATAACTCCGGTGCACTCAGAGAAACAGGAAGAGGGTGAAGGCGGTAAACACATCCCATTGGTTCGTTGGAGATGAACGAATCCCATTGGTCTATTTTTATCGGCCCGCTTCAAAATATTTTGTATACATTTTTGTTGACTATAGACATCTGGTCAATTCCTTTACTATTTGAAAACACATGACAACTTGATACTTTTAGGGTTTAGCGACGTTTTTCCAAAAAATCTGGCTGCTTCTTTAAAAAAAAAAAAAACCAATGAACAAACATTAAAACATGTCCAAGTTTTGATCAAATTCAAACAATAAAAACCTGAAAATAATAGTGAAATCATGTCACATTAAAGTCAAAACACCTTCATAATGTAAAAAAAACAATTCTAAGAAAAGGAAATCTATTCTTTCGGCCCTTGACCAGTTCCTGCTCTGTTTTCGGCCCCTGACTAAAACGATGATGACACCTCTGGGGTAGACCCTGTCACAGACTTCACAGTGTCCCGTCCTCCGCAGAGGAAGTGCCTTATCTCCTGCTGTAGAAGCTGATGGTCCATGCATTCAAAGGCTTCTAATGATCCTCTGTGTGCGTCTCCCATGGGTGCTGAGCCGGGACATTTACATAGAGTCCAGCCTATATTTAACACAGCCCTATCTAATTACATGCTAATATCATGCTAATATCATGTTTACAGAGCGGCGGCTACAAAACAGCAACACATCCAAACTGTGAATGTCTTTGTGTGGCGTTTAAAGCTGGGGCACCTAACTTTTATATGTCATAGATAATATATTTTGTTCATTCACACAGAAAAAACCTCTTATGAACAAACATCTTCCTGCTGGTTTCCTCTGATCAGGAGACTTTGCTCTGAGTCACTATTTGAGTCTTCAGGCTGAGAGCTGATTGGCCGGTTTAATGATACACAACACACACTTTTTTTTAGTCATTGTTAGTGTTGCGTGACGCCATTTAATGTCAATGTTTTCTGTTTTCGAATGATCGCATCTTTGAGCCGCACTGGGGGGATCTCAAACGTGTAGTTCATGCGAGGCAGCCCAGGAATTTACATAAACTGGAAGCCAGAGGTGGGACAAAGTCATTGTTTAGCAAGTCACAAGTCAGTCTCAATTCATTGCCCTCAAGTCCCGAGTCAAGTCACGAGTCAAGACAGGCAAGTCCCGAGTCGAGTCCAAGTCAAAGGCCAACAAATCTCAAGTCAGTCCCAAGTCCTACGGTTTGACTTTCGAGTCCTCTCGAGTCTTTTTGACCGCGATTTGTTTCTTGTTGGTCTCCAAAAATAATGTTAGGAATCATTTTGCTGGTGCATTCTCGTTGGTCTCTGACCCATGGACTAACAGTTTGTTCCATGTGGTTGGCTGCTGGTAAATCAAAACTATGTTGTGCCAGATGCAGGCTCAGTTACACATGCACAGACCACACATAAAATCAGAGCAGTCCGTGTCAACATACTTTTTATCTTTGGGGTTTTTAATGGGAAGTAGCAAGTGCAGCATATATGTATATGAGTATTGGGCTAGGACCTGTATCTATATAATCAGTTTAATGTCCATAGTGGTTATTGTTCCAAAGGACTGAAGGGACCAATGGAGGGGAAGGAACCTGGCCTGTATGAACTGGGCCAGCATTAGTAATATCTCATAATTACCAATATATCATTACATAATAAAATGTCTCATATAAATTAATTCAATCAGTCAAAGCACTGATTCTCATATCAATGCACCATAAACAATAGTGCAAATATTAATCTAGCTTAGTGCACATAATCAAAAACAACTATCTAATGTATGCAAACTTTAGCAGGAGGAGCACAGCAAAAACATACTCATAATAATAGGCCTCGGCGCCCACACAGAAAAATATAAGAAAGAGCCAACAGAGCAGCGCAGGCTAGCGCTAGTTTGACTCACCAGTTCCTCTTTAAAACACGGCACACAGTGTGACAACTGCGTCGATTCAATTGTATGAGGCGCCTGTAGTGAAAGCATATCAATTACGGTTTGTAGAACAAAATATGACGTTAGGTCGCGATAAATACCTGCAGCTCGCTCATTTCCAGCTCCCCTAGACAACACACCCACCGGTGAATGCAGTCCGCTTGTTTAGGGAAGTGTTGCTGCGCGAACTGCCTGGAACTCACGTTCGAACTCTCGCGCGAGCGCTACAACTACCGCGAGGCTTTGTTTCTTCAGAGACGGCATAGATAGAAAGAGAGATGCGGAGAAAGGTAAAAATGGCCCGGGTTACGCAAGTCTTTACAAGTCAATTGGCGCAAGTCCAAGTGAAGGTCAGAGTCATTGATGTTAAAGTCCAAGTCGAGTTGCAAGTCTTTTTATATTTGGTCAAGTCGAGTCTAAAGTCATCAAAATCATGACTCGAGTCTGACTCGAGTCCAAGTCACATGACTCGAGTCCACACCTCTGCTGGAAGCCTTTTGGAAGAAGAATGAGCAGCTTTACCGTCAGAGAGGATGAATGCACTTGGATCACGTTTTGGGTAGACACGGTCCTGTGATAAGTTTTGTGGGACGTGGATCTTCAGACGTGGACACAAACAAACCCTGGGGCCCCCCCCCGTGTGGCCCCCCGGTGAGGGCCCCAGCTCAGACTCTTCCTCTTCACGGGGTCAGGAAGTTCACCTGGTGTAGAGTTGGCAGATGTTGGAGAGGTCAGTCCAGCAACAAGTTCTCACCTGAACCAGGTCGACTAAAGTCAACGAAGCAGCAGCTGATGTCTGGTTTGTGTGTCAGGATCAGATTCAGATTCATTCTTTTGCCCTTTGCAGTAAAACCCCACAGGAATACATTAACAAAAGTCTCCAGTTGCACTAGCCTGGCCATAGCCGTCCGTACACTGCGCTCAATCATCATTTCAGAGAGTTTGCGTCGAACGGGAAGGTTG